GTGTGTGTATACCACATATGCACACATACATATGTGTGTCCAGGAGTTCAGTATGCATTATTTACCACTGGAGGAGTAAAACTGAAGTCACTGTGTGTTTATAGGGTGAGTAAGCAGGTGTCTGGGGGGAAAGGCGTGGAAGAGGAAGCTTTTCCATATAGCTTAGTAAGCATTTTGACGTTTGAATTGTGTGGGTGTTAAGTCCTACGCAAACACTTACTTGAAAGTGAGACAACTATAAAATAAAGTAGTAAACTGCATTTCAGACCTGGGGTGTGTAGGGGAGGTTAGAAAAGTTGGCTCCCAGATACAGTGGCATGAATTTGGGGGGGGGGTTCTTTCCAAAAGGGTGGGGAAGCCGAGGGGTTAGGAGCCAGATAACTCTGTGTTACAAGGATCTTGGTATAGGCTGGTATTAACTTTGCTCCCGTTTTTTCTGGTGGCTACATGGGAAAGCCTGAGCCAGGTAGCTCAAAGTGGCAAAAGCTTATGTAAGTAGATGTTAGTGTAGTTGTCTTAACAGTTAAACTTAACAGATACATGTTAATGTTGCCTTAACAATTAAATTCTCACTGAGATTTAAGTGCCTGTGCTCCAGAGGCCTAAGATACCATTGTAAGAACCTATGGACAAGCAGATTCCGAGCAGTTCAGTGTGGAAGCTACATTCACACAGATGTGAGAGAAGAGATGGTACCCCCAGCCTGGGCATTTGCCAGCTCCTAGCAGCTCCCCACTGAAAGGCACCACCTGGGGCATCTGCTAAGACAGAGGTGGAGAAAAGTCTGCCCAGGCTAGGTGTTATCCTAAGGCAGTGTGTCGGATGCTGAAGACCTGGCCCAGGTAGCAGAGCTGGAGCAAGGCTGTGTCCTGGCCCTGGCAGATTCCGGAGCCCTCTCTGATCTGTCTGAACCTTCCCCTCTCACCAGTTCCTCCTGCCTGGGTGCCACGGACAACCAGACCCTTGTGCAAGGTTCTCCTTGAGTCTCCTCAGTCCCTCTTTGGGGTTTCAACTGCAAGATCAAGGGTCACTAGGTCCATTCCCAGCCCAGCCACAGGTAGTTTTCCAACCCAGGGACTTCTCCATCCTGTGCTTACAGTGGTGATCTCCACTCTCTGCCGCCCAACCCATGTCCCGGACCCTGCGGCCCTCATACCTGTGACACTGAGACCCTGGAGGCCACAGAAGTGAGCCATGCGCAGCCCCAGCACAGCGGGTTGGGGGCACGGCTGGTAGAGACCCACGCTCAGGTAGGCAGGCATCCAGGCCGCGGGGCACGCCCAGGGCACAGCACGGGCCCGAGGCCAGGAGGCAGCGGTGCAGAGGCCAGAGGCTGCGCAGGCGGAGACTGACAGCAGGGAGGCTGCGGGTGTTCGGGGGTCGGGCCTGGCTAGGAGGGCCTCGATGGAGAAGGGGGACTCCAGGCGTTGGGAAGAGACAGGTGTGACCCTCCCCGGAGAGCGGCCTGGGCGCAGGATCTGGCCCCGGGATTGTGTGGGAGCCCTCGGCAGGTGGCCCAGGAGCGAGGAGCTGGGCATGGTAAAGCCCAAGCCCAGCGCACAAAGAGGGAAGCTGGGGCCCTTTAGGGATGGATGGGGAGTTCTAGAGACCGGTGAGGACACCGCTAAAGAGAGTGAGACTTGTTGAAAGGACCCCAGCTGTGGGTGGGGGGTAGGGACCGCCTTTATTCCGTGGCCTGGGCGGGGTTTCCCCCAAGCTCTAAAAGCAGTGCACCCCCAGCTCCCCAGGCCACGCCCAGTCCGGGACTAGTCTAGGTGAGGCTCAGTGCTAGGGAACACACTCCCTCCCTTCTTCGCTTTTGAAAAAGCCGTGGGCGCTGTGTTGGGGTTGGGAGGGGGGCGTTTGTGGTGGGGGGAGGGGGAAGGTGAGCATCAGGAACTCACTGTGGCTTGCTGGTGGTCGGGCAAACCATCCAGCCGCTGTGCGCCAAGGTATTTGGGGTGCAGTCTTTGGAACAGACGTGACACCAAAACTACCTGCACCCGTGCACACAGTTTTTTTACAACTTTAAAAATTAAGAATCTTTTTTATAAGCACAGTGAAGATTATATTCTCGCCCTGTTCCCTGAAAGGCACAGCCTTTCAGGAAGTGCCTCCAGACACTTCGGAGGTTACCAATTTCTTTTGTATCTTTCCAGGAATTTTTTGCGTCCACATTACTACCTGTGCCCCACTGGAAACATCTTTCCTACGCCCCCCCCCCCAAAAAAGGGAAAGGGTGGGGAGAACTGTAACGGTTCTAGATTAAGAAATACAATTTATTACCAAAATGAAGGCTTGTAGATCTCCTTGTGTTGTATAGATGTAGGACAGGCATCTCTGTTTAATACGTGCATAATCTGTGCTTACTATCATTCCTTAGGCAAGTTACAAGTTACCATTTGTATTTTCTCACTTGTAAAATGGATGGTTATAGTAGCCACTTCATGGAGTTATTGTGTGATTGCATAAATTATTGCATGTAAATCAATTAGAATTTGCCCGGTGCATTGCTAATCACTTTTCTGTGATTGTGGGGTTGGGAGGGATTCCTGCTTCCCAGGTTCCCACTGCTTTCTGTGTCCCCAAATCAATACCTAGTATTGAAACTATCAGGTGGAGAAAAGGTTTCTTGTCATTGCTAATTGGCCTGCTGTTGGGATACAAACATTGCCTCTCTGTCCTGCCAGAAGAGGGGAAGGAGGAGCCATGCTGGGGTTTGCCACCATCCGCCCTACCCTCCTCCTTCAGCAAATACTGGCCTCACCTTCCCAGAAGCCTCTCGTGCAGCTTGGAAGGAGAGTTTTCTTGGAAGGAGAACTTGTGATCTGACTGACTTGTGGGTCCAACCTGGCCTCAGGTCCAGACTTATACTTACTTCAGGCCAGGTGATGCTATGTCAATATAAGCTGACAATATAAGCCCTGTGGAAAAGGCTTAGGTGAGATGTGAATTCAGAAGAGTGACTGCCGTAGACCCACTGGGAATTGGGAGGGATCTATGTGAACACTCTAGAAACTCCCCCTACCCTCAAATCCTGTACACAGCACTTCACTTCTCAACATGCTTCTTTCGGAGGGGCGTTTCCTCTGAGATGAAAGAGCTGTGTGACCCTCCGCCCCGATCCCAAGGATCAGCACAGAAGACAATGCCAAGGTTTGGGAGAAGGGACACTGGGACTCACCCTTTCAGCTTACAGAACATCAGTTGATGCTGTCAGGGGACAGTGGAACACTGTGGGTTTGGGAATTGGGTAAACCTAACTTCAAATCTCCGTTTTGTCATTGAATATTTCCGTGACATTGGATAGGTGACTATTCACTCTAAACCTCATTTTCTTGTGAAATTTGATCATTTCTTAAGCAATAACGTGATTGGATTGTTACAAGATATAAATAAAATTGGCGTTTGTAACTATTATGGGGAGACAATAGGCAGCAATGGTAGATGAACTGGGCTAAGCTTCTTTTTTTTTTTTTTTAAAGATTTATTTATGGGCCCTCCCTGGTGGCGCAGCGGGTTAAAGCACAGCACTGAGAATCTAAAACCGCCTCCGCATGAGTTCGATTCCCGCCTGCCCCGGAGGTGACCACATGGCGTGGCAGACCTCTCCTGACCCACCCGCTGCTCCCCTCAGCAGTGTACTTCGTTGATCTGCCTGTTCTGTTCCCCGCTCTGTCTCTGGTGAAGCCTCTCACCGCCCCCAAGCCTCTGGCCTGTACCCCAGTTCTGTATACACAAATAAATAAATCTTAAAAAAAAAAAGATTTATTTATTTGTGCATACAGAACTGGGGTACAGGCCAGAGGTACAGGGACGGTGAGAGGATTCACCAGAGACTGAGTGGGGAGCAGAACAGGCTGACTGATGAATTATACTGCTGAGGGAGCAGCGGGTGGGTCAGGAGAGGTCTGTAGTGCCATGTGGGTCAGCTCCAGGGTGGGGATCGAACTCATGCTGAAGTGGCTTTAGCTTCCTAGTGCTAAACTGCTGCACCACCAGGGAGGGCCCGGGCTAAGCTTCTTAAAAGAAAGTGGTGAGAGAGAGGATGAGCCAGATTTATAGGACTGGAATTAAATGTCTAGTCTGTGCTCCTTTATGCACTGAGACTCTCAGCGGGTTAATTTGGTAGCAGCATGAACCCTGGAATCAGGGGAAGCTGACAAAGAACAAGATAAAATTTGTAAGAAGAAAAATTCATAAACATCTGGTAAGTCTATTTGTGCTAATTTTTACATAGAATATATATCACTGCTGTGTCTCTAGCTGTGGATTTTCAGTACATAACTCTATATTTCTGTACATTGGTATCGGTTTTCTATTGTTTCTCCTCTCACTGTAAGTTCCTGAGGCTGGACAGTAATATGTTCAGCTTATATATGAGCAAACAGAACCTGAGAGGTTAACACACTGTCTAGGTTCAAATCCCCTAGCTACCCAAATGTAGTTTTAGTTTGCATTTTTCTGAGGACCATTCATGTTGAGCATCTTTTCATAAAAATTTCAGCCACTTGAATATCCTCTTTTGTGTGAAGTGTCTCTTCCAGTCATTTAGTTGTTTTTGTATCAGATTATTATCTTTTCTCATTAACTTATTAGGTAGTTAATGTATAATTAGAGTCAGATATTTCGGAATCAAGTCCTTTGTTGTAATATATAGAAGCAAATATCTCCTCTCACTCTACTGGCTGTCTTTTCATACTTTTTTTTTTATTTTATTAAAAAGTTTATTTTTACATCATTTTGCACATTTTTTT